TATATCCATATTTTAACCCCTAAGTGGGATTTTCAAGGTGTGGCTTAACTATTGTTTTCTCTTTTTAAATTTAATTTTAGAGACAGGGTCTCGCTATGTTGCCCAGACTGGACTAGAACTCCCGGGCTCAAGCAATCCTCAAGCCTCATCCTCCCAAGTAGCTGGGACTATAAGCATCCACTGCTATGCCTGCCTGTTTCTTTTTAAATGGTATAAGTTGTGAACTGTAGGTTTATATTCATATTCATTGAAAGCTTAAGGACATCTAGTTTGTAGTATTAGGATTGATTAAAGGGAAGGTAAATAGTTAACCATTGTTTGAAAAACTTACAGTATTGTAGATATAAATAACAGCCCTCTTGGGCAGTATTTTGAAATGAGAATATGAGTGAGCCATAGAATTACTAGGAATATTTCACTTTTTTAGCTTCTAAGTGAAAAGGAACTATATCTTGCTCTTTAACAATCAGTTTGTTATCTCCATCTTGCAGGGAAGGATATGAGAATTTCTTTGATAAGCTCCAACAACATAGTATACCCGTGTTCATATTTTCGGCTGGAATCGGCGATGTATTAGAGGAGGTTATTCGTCAAGCTGGTGTTTATCATCCAAATGTCAAAGTTGTGTCCAATTTTATGGATTTCGATGAAACTGTAAGAATATGAAATCATTCTTCATAATTTTAAAATCTGAAAATATTTTAATCATGTGCAGTATGTGTTGTTACTTAATATATATCCAGTAAGTTAGGCCAAGTTGATAGGCCCACTGTGGGACTCCATCCTTCTCAATGTTAATATATCCATATTTTAAAAACAATGTGCCTTTCTTAAACTTTCATTCCTCAAGCTATAGACTAATAATAAAAATAGTAAAACTTCTTCTTCTTTTTTTTTTGTTTGAAATGGAGTCTCACTCTGTTGCCCAGGCTGGAGTGCAGTAGCATGATCTCAGCCAATTGCAACCTCTGCCTCCTGGGTTCAAGCAATTCTTCTGCCTTAACCTCTCGAGTAGCTGGGATTACAAGCATGTGCCACCACACCCGGCTACTTTTTGTATTTTTGGTAGAGATAGGGTTTCACCATGTTGGCCAGGTTGGTCTCAAATTCCTGACCACAAGTGATCCACCCCCCTTGGCCTCCCAAAGTGCTGGGAGTACAGGCATGAGCCACCACACATAGCCTAAAACTTCCTTTAAATTGTTTTAATGCAGCAACTTTGAAGCCTTAACATTCATAGTTGGAAAAAAAGAAGTTAGAACTGAAATTATTTGAATAGGGTTTTCTAATCAAGACAGTATATTATGAAATACATAAACTAACATAAAATAGGATCTTTTGGTTAGAAACAAAATAAAAACTGAAAATTGAATTTTGAACTCATTTTGTTTTACCTTTTTTTTTTTTTTGAGATGGAGTCTTGCTCTGTAGCCCAGGCTAGAGTGCAGTGGCGTGATCTCAGCTCACTGCAACCTCCACCTCCGGGGTTCAAGCAGTTCTCCCTACCTGAGCCTCCCGAGTAGCTGGGATTACAGGTGTGTGCCACCACGCTGAGCTAATTTTTGTTTTCTTAATAGAGACGGGGTTTCACCATGTTGGTCAGGATGGTCTCGATCTCTTGACTTCATGATCTGCCCACCTCAGTCTCCCGAAGTGCTGGAATTACAGGCGTGAGCCACTGTGCCCAGCCTTCTTTTTTTGTTTTTTTTTTTTCCCAGACAGAGTCTCACTCTGTCACCCAGGCTGGAGTGCAGTGGTGCCATCTTGGCTCACTGCAACCTCCGCCTCCCGGGTTCAGGCGGTTCTCCTTCCTCAGCCTCCCGAGTATCTGGGACTACAGGTGTGTGCCACCACACCTGGCTAATTTTTATATTTTAGTGAGGCGGGGTTTCACTGTATTGGCCAGTCTGGTCTCGAACTCCTGACCTCCAGTGATCTGTCCTCTTTGGCCTCCCAAAGTGCTGGGATTACAGGCGTGAGCCACTGCGCCCAGCCTTTGTTTTACCATTTAAAATAGTCTCTAAAAAATCATTTACTTCTCCGAGCCCTTCTTAGCTATGGTGAATGTGATGGACTTAAGTGCTTTGAGATCTTTAGTATCAAAGATGCATTTACAAATATGATGAAATAATAGTGACATCAATTAAGAGCTCCAAAATGTGAAAATCTAACAAATAGAATTTTTAAAGCCTGTTATTTCAAAAGATTTATATTTTTCATAGGGGGTGCTCAAAGGATTTAAAGGAGAACTAATTCATGTATTTAACAAACATGATGGTGCCTTGAGGAATACAGAATATTTCAATCAACTCAAAGACAATAGTAACATAATTCTTCTGGGAGATTCCCAAGGAGACTTAAGAATGGCAGATGGAGTAGCCAATGTTGAGCATATTCTGAAAATTGGATATCTAAATGATAGAGTAAGTATACAAATCTGTAATTTAATTTTCTTCCAAGAAAAAATTAGGATGAAACTTGGTAGGCAATTGTTGCCATAGTCACCTGAGAAAGTAGTTATTTTAGAGACTTTTTTTTTTTTTTTTTTGAGACAAGCCTCTGTTACCGAGGCTAGAGTGTAGTGATGCAATCACATCTCACTACAGCCTCAACCTTCCCTGCTCAAGCATTCCTCCCACCTCAGCCCCTCAAGTAGCAGGAACTACAGGCACACACCAGTACACCTGCCTGATTTTTTAATTTTTTTGTAGAGATGAGGTCTCCCTATGTTGCCCAAGCTGGTCTCAAACTCCTGGGCTCAAGTGATCCACCAGGCCTCTCAAAAGTGTTGGGATAACAGGCGTGAGCCACTATGCCCAGCCAAAACATAGTTTTGATCATGCATTTTGATTGTTCTTTATACTGGTGATATTTAAAGGAGTTGAGATGCATGCTATAGGTACTAAGAAAAGGGAGGATGTGTATTCTGTAGGAGGCCTCTGTGTCTTCTACCCACTAGATGCTGGATAGCAGTCCCCTGCCATGAGACTCAAAAATGTCCCTAGACGTTAGTAAATGTTCCCTGGACAAAATCACCCCATTTGAAAACCACTGGACTGGAGAGAGAGCATTTTGGGGAGAAAAGCTACCGTGTGGAAACATGTCTGTCAGTGGGTCTTAAGAGTTTGAAATATTTCTTCATTTCAAAGATTTTTTGAAAGTGAATTTAATTTTTTGCATTTTGCCCAAGAGGTCTAACGATGAGATTCATACTGAAATTACTTGCTTCTTCGCCCTGCATGTTAATTTTCTTTTGTTCTTTTCTTGATTAGGTGGATGAGCTTTTAGAAAAGTACATGAACTCTTATGATATTGTTTTAGTACAAGATGAATCATTAGAAGTAGCCAACTCTATTTTACAGAAGATTCTATAAACAAGCATTCTCCAAGAAGACCTCTCTCCTGTGGGTGCAATTGAACTGTTCATCTGTTCATCTTGCTGAGAGACTTATTTATAATATATCCTTACTCTTGAAGTGTTCCCTTTGTATAACTGAAATATTTTCAGACATGGTGAATGCATCAACTGGAAGCTCCTTTTTCTCCACCTCTCTCAACACACTCCTCACCTTATCTTTTAACACATTAAAAAAAAAAAAAAATCTTAAAGCCAAAATTAGAAAAGTAACTCCCTACTTTTCCAAAGTGAATTTTGTAGTTTAATGTTATCATGCAGTTTTTGAGGAGTCTTTTACACTGGGAAAGTTTGTAGAACTTTTAAAATAAGTTTTATGAAATGGTGAAATAATATGCATGATTTTAAGTATTGCCATTTTTGTAATTTGGGTTATTATGCTGATGGTATCACCATCTCTTGAAATTGTGTTAGGTTTGGTTATTTTGGGGAAAACATATTTACCGGAAAAGAGTAGCACTTACTGTTGGAAAAAACTGGTGGTGTTTACAACGTCACTAATCATTACAAAACATTCTGTATTGAAGCACTGATAATAAATATGAAATGAAAAGCCTTTTTAATTCTATGGTCAAAACTATCTTTATTGAGTCAACAAATACTTATTGAGCACCTACCATGGTGTCTTGTTTTTTTGTTTCTTTCTCTGCATCTGCCTGTCTTTTGAGATATATGAATTCTAAAATCCTTGTCATAGTGGCTATTTAGATTGAATTATTTTCAAAAATTATTAAGTCTAAAGATATTTGCAAGGAAATTTTTATTTGCCCTTCAGAAAATACTGAGACCTCTGAAAATTATTTTCTCCCATTGAAAACATCAGTAAAAGGTACAAGTCTGCAAGTTTCAGAAAGAACCCGAGGCAGGAAGCAGTGGACCTGGGTCTCGTGGTGACTGAATCTGAGCAGCACTGCAACATTAGGAACCAGCATCTCTCTGTACAGTCCAGCTACCCACTCCACATCTCTGGCTCTGCCTCATCATTCATCTTCAGGATTTAGATCTGCCATTGTGATAAATTTGACCCTGACTCTTACCCTTAATTCCAGATCCTATGGACACCTAATTGGTTTGCTTATAGCACCTAAGCTATGATACACACAAAGCATGATCTGATTCGTTCTGGCCATCCAGTGTGAGCAGCAGTCTCTAGTTCAGTCAGGTGTGGCTGGAAGGCAAGGTCACATGTTAGAAAACCTTTTTGTCCTCAGAATGCCCATCCTTATCCTCCACCACCACTTCTCCTTTTCATCATCATAAACAATGAAGCAGGCCAGGAGCAGAAGCTCACACCTGTAATCCCAGCACTTTGGGAGGCCAAGGCAAGTGGATTGCTTGAGCCTAGGAGTTTGAGACCAGCCTGGGTAATATAGGGAGACCCCCATCTCTGCAAAAAATTAGCCAGGCATGGTGGTGTGCCTGTAGTCCCAGCTACTCAGGAGGCTGAGGCGGGATGATCACCTGAGCCTGGGGAGGTTGAGGCTGCAGTGAGCTGTGATCGTGCCACTGCACTCCAGGCTGGTCAACAGAGCAAGAACCTACCTCAAAACAGCATAAAAATAATGAGGCCAGGTGCAGTGGCTCACATCTGTAATCCCAGCATTTTGGGAGGCCGAGGCGGGCAGATGACTTGAGCTCAGGAGTTCAAGACCAGCCTGGGCAACATGGCAGGACTCAGTCTCTACTAAAAATACAAAAAACTAGCCAGGCATAGTGGTGCGCACCTGTGGTTCCAGCTACTCAGGAGGCTAAGGTAGGAGGATTGCTGGAGCCCGGGGGGCCAATGCTTGCAGTGAGCTGAGATCATGCCCCTGCACGCCAGCCTGGGTGACAGAGCAAGACCTGGTCTTAATAAATAAATAATGAAACAAAAATGCAATGGCAACAGGCAGACTAGATCCTGCCTAAGTGTTTCTGAAATCAAACTGAAAAATAACTTCCTGCATTAAAGCAGATAGCATGGCATGGGAGTATCAGAATTACCTGCGGGACTTTTGCACATAGGAAAAACAGTTGGGAATCTGATTCAACGATAACTCTTTACCCCTGTATTGCAATCAGAGCTTATATTGGCTATTTCCAAAAGGTGTTTATAATATGCTTCCATGAATAAGTATATTGCATGCTGTAAATCTATAGAACACTGAAGTCATGACCTACATTCTGGTCATGGCTCAGCCCCTTACTAAGACTGCAGGTTCGGTCACCTCCCTATATAATGAATGCCATAAGAACATGCACTCTCTAAGGCCCCTTCTAGCCAATTCCATAAATTGAGTCTCATGCTTCTCAAATTATGTTTATTAACCTATCACATCTCACTGCCACCTGATGCTACTGAAATTTAAAATATTTGTATTTGAGTTCAGTTTTCAGACCAGTTTAGCCATTAGGAATGTGACCAGGACAGATTATTGAGCCTGTGTCCCAGTTTGCTCATCTGTTAAGTGAAGATGGTGCTATAGCTTCTTGATTCATAAGGAGTAGATATGCTCACCTTTTATGTATACATTTGAAACTTACGTATGCATTTAAAACAGCACAGGTATTCAATATTGTTAGGTAGAATCCGTCCACAAATGTATAAGCTGTTGTATCCCCCAGTGTTTGGCTGAATCAATGAAATGGAATGATCTTTTGCAGCCCGAGCAAATATTGGTAGTGTATGGTGACTACCACATTCTCTAAAGAGCCTAGCATCAGCCAATGGTTTTATTCAACTTTAAATTTTACTTTATGAAATAAAGCAATTTTCAGGGCTAGAGCAAACACTTTTGACAAAACTGGAAAAAATGAAAACAACCATCAGTCATACTAGCTCGTTCCGGAGTGATTTCACAAGAAATCTACCTTCCATGGTCTATTTAACAGTCACCCAAATTTTGGTAGATGACCGAAAGTCTGTTTAACCGGCCTTCAGGTTCAGTTTTCTCTTTAATATACCCTAGGGAAAATCAGCAAGGAAAAGATCAATGTAATCTTGAATGACTAATCCTGAAACTTCTCCCGAGTTACCCAGAGAGTTAACAGTCATGCTGCTCTTTGTACTTAGTCTGGTGTTTCAGTACCAGTTTAACAGATAAAAAGTGATCAAGGTGCACAGCTTTGAAGTAGTCAGACCTGGATCTGAATCTGTGATTCTGTCATCTGGAATAAGTTTCTAACTTCTCCAAGCCTTAGTTTTTTCATCTGTAAAGGGGAGTATTAACTAGAGATGAGGATTAAATGAAAAGTCACTTACTCAAGTCTCTATGTTGTGCTGAGTTCTAGGGAAACAATAGTTAACAAATCAGGACTGGACGCGGTGGCTCATGCCTGTAAAATCCCAGCACTTTGGGAGGCCGAGGCAGGCGGATCACCTGAGGTTGGGAGTTCGAGACCAGCCTGACCAACATGGAGAAACCCGGTCTCTACTAAAAATACTAAAATTAGCTGGGCATGGTGGTGCACACCTGTAATCCCAGCTACTCGGGAGGCTAAAGCAGGATAATCACTTGCACCCGGGAGGTGGAGGTTGCAGTGAGCTGAGATTGCGCCTTTGCACTCCAGCCTGGGCAACAAGAGTTGCCTCCGTCCCCTCTGCCCCCACAAAAAAAAAATCAGACATGCTTCCTGCCCTCATGTAGCTTCCATTCCTAGTAGATCAAACAGGAGGAAAGAGTAGCAATTATGAATATGGTAAATAGCTATGAAGAAAACACAAATGACAGACCTATTTTATTTATTATTATTATTATTATTATTACATATATTTTCTGAGATGGAGTCTCACTCTGTCACCCAGGCTGGAGTGCAGTGGTGTGGATCTCAGCTCACTGCAAGCTTCATGCCATTCTCCTGCCTCAGCCTCCCGAGTAGCTGGGACTACAGGTGTCCGCCACCACGCCAGGGTAATTTTTTGTATTTTTAGTAGAGACGGGATTTCACCGTGTTAGCCAGGATGGTCTCGATCTCCTGACCTCGTGATCTGCCCGCCTCAGCCTCTCAAAGTGTTGGGATTATAGGCGTGAGCCATCACGCCCAGCCAACAGAGACCTATCTTAGATATAGTGGTCAGAAGCAGCTCTTCTCAGGTGATACTTAGGCCAAAGTCAGAAGGATAAGGAGCTAGTCATGTGAGGAGTTGAGGGAGAAGCATTCCCAGGAGAGGGAACAGGGTGTGTGAAGGTCCTAAGTGAGAAAGTTTTAGGGCATTTGAAGAACTGAGAGCTGGTTTAACAGTATTATGAACAAAGGGAAGAATGGCATCAGGTGTTGAACGGAAAGTAGGTGGGTGCCAGATCATGGAGGGCTTTATAAATCATAAGAACTCTGGTTTTTCTCTCCTTGCAAAGGAGAGGCAGGATCACTGATGCCATGTGGGGAAGGGACTAGTGAGGGCAGATAAACCCAAGCACACCAGTTGGGGGGCTATTACAGCTGTTCCAGTTAGAAATAATGGTCGGTTTTGGGGGCTGGGGCTGTGGAACGGGAGAGAAGTGGGTCATTTCCAGGAGTAGCTTAGAGACAGAATTGACAAAACTTGCTGTTGGCTTAAACATGTAAAATGAGAGAGCAGGGGGTCGCTGATGTCTGCTTTGGACACATGGGTGCCAGGGAAGATGGAGAGGAATAGGCTTGGTGGTGTTGGGAAGGGAGTGGGAACAGACATGCTATTTTGGACATACAAAATTTGACATGTGAGACATACAAGAGAAGATACCAAATAGACAGACTAGAGCTCAAAGGAGAAATCTGAGCAGGAACTATAAATGTGGGTGTTGTCTGCATTTAAATGAGATTTAAATATGGCCAGTGTCAGCTGGAAGAAATTGCCTGACCAATCAAAATTCCAACATTAAGCGTGGAAACCACACACAAACTATTAATAAGCAGAAATGTTTTATATCTGCATCTAGCAAGAAATAATCGGAAACAATATTATTTTGTTTTTTGAGACGCAGGGTCTCCCTCTGCCCAGGCTGGAGTGCAGTGGCACTATCAGGGCTTACTGCAGCCTTGAGCTCCCAGCCTCGAGTGATCCACCTCAACCGCCCGAGTAGACCGCAGGTGTGCACCACCACACCTGGCTACTTTTTGAAATTTCTGTTAGAGATAATCTCTCTCTGTGCTGCCCTGGATTGTCTCAAACTCCTGGGCCCAAGCGATCCTCCCACCTTGGCCTCCCAAAGTGGTGGGATGACAGGCGTGAGTCACTGCACCCGGCCCAGTATTCTTATTAAGTAAAAACTCTAGATCCCTGAGAGAGTGAAGGGGAAAAGGCTTCAAAAAAAGCAACTTTGTCCCTGGAAACCTGAGATAGTAAAGTAACAGATGGGGGCAGGGACCAGTGTTTATGTATAGTCTTGCAGTTAAACCTATTTCCCTGCCAAAATGAATTTTTTTCCTATCTTTTAAGTATTTGGACAAAATTATAAAGTCATAAATAATCAGAGATCAAAACTCACTGGTTTTAACAAAATGGTGCCTATTGCTTATATTTGCAGGCGGCCTAATTGTGTCAAACATATTCAGATGTCATGTTCATGTTCTAGACTCTCATCCCACAGTAGGTATCAGTGAC